ACTGTTTCTATTTTTTTATTCATTTAAGTCAACTGTGGTTAACAGACTGGCATTCATTCATTCATTCATTCATTCATTCATTCATTCATTCATTCATTCATTCAGAATGGCCACCTATCTCACTGAGTAACTCTGGGCAGCAAACAAAATTTTAAAAATAAAAACAATTAAAATAATACAACCATTAAACATTTCCTGGATTCCTGCTTAAAAATGTTCATCATCAATACAGTCATCCACTAAATTAAGTATTGGCTATCATTGGGTATTTCTCTAAGAAACTTTCTCAGCAGAAGTGAACTGATGAAATTAGGAGGCAATTCTAAATTACCTGAAATTTGAAATTTATTCAGCAAGCAATCATTTTCAGTTTGAAAAAAGAAGTTGTGCAATCATGATTTCACTTTATCTGCTTCTCAACCTTTTGAAGTCTTCCAATATATTACTTTAATAATTATGATTTGGCTATGTAATTTCCACATCCAAACTCAGTTAGCAACTAGTACGCCTCTCCCTTCCTTCCTTCCTTCCTTCCTTCCTTCCTTCCTTCCTTCCTTCCTTCCTTCCTTCCTTCCTTCCTTCCTTCCTTCCTTCCTTCTCCTTTGTGTGGCTGTATGCTGTTCTTTCATCTTGCTGCCAGAAGTTTTAGGCTTTATTTCAGAATATAATCCCTTGTTTATATAGTTAACAAATCAGTTGTAAGCACAACAGCAGGCAACACATACTGCTTGGAACAGTACCTAGTTAGCAGACAATATATTTGCATGTACAAAAGTTAAGAAAATGTGCATTTCAGTAGCAACAAATGAGAACATCGTCACTCCAAGGAATCCTAAGGAATGGCTTTTCACATTGGACAAGGCAACAAGCGTATTTCACATGCATAAACATGCAGTAATTATCAATATTATTATTTCTGATAGGCCATCAAACAATCAATGTGTAGCAAACCTTGTACTTTGCTACAAGTGGCAAATAATTAAAATACAATGTTTTATTAATTTCCAATTTATTATGATAGAGGAAGAATTGACAAACAGGTTGCTCTATTTCTCTTTCAAATTTAAGGTATCTATGAAAATCTGAATTACAAATGAGGAGCTGTAACATACAAGCCAAGGACTTTGGTCAAATATATGTTACAGAAGAAACTATTAAAAAGACAGTAAGATTTTATCAAAATTCATGAGGATATTTTTTGACAGAAAAACAGTTACAATTTACAGATCCCATTATCTAAATGTCAAGAATTTAGATACTAGGCTTAAAAAGCTCCCCTTTTTACATTTTCCTAAGAGCATTTTTTTTATTTATGGAATATAACACTTCCTAAGCAGAGTAGCTGCCACAGTCTAGTAATCCAGTAATAAATATATGCACAAAATGTTCACTTAATTCAGTCTACATGTACATAATAGATTTTAATGCTGTGCTAAAGTACATACTGGTACTAGATGTATTTTAATTGTTCATCTTATTAATTATTCATTTGTTTTTATAGTAATTTTATTAAAAATTACAATTAAAAAATACAAACTAATACAAACTAAAAAAGAAAAGAATAAAAAGAAAAATAGAAAGTGCAGTAAAGAAAAAAATAGAAAAAAAGAAAAAATAAGAATATAGAAAAGAAAAAGAAAAGAAATATATAAAGAAATGACTTCCCCTGCATCACAACAAATATAAACAATTTTAGTAGCATATCCCTTTCTCTTAAAATACAACAAATGATCTCTTCTTCCCATATCCCATCTGTTATCTATAAACAAATCCTTAAACCCTCATCATTTCAGTCCTGATCAGCAAAAGTCCATTAAGGATTACCAGAGATAACTACATATCTATTTTAACCTTGATCAAATAAGCCAACTTTAAATTCCTTCCTTTTGTTTCTAACAATGTTGATCTTTATTCCCTTCAAATAATGTCCTAGAACTTGATTTGTTTTCATTTTTTCTTTGTTCCTTCTCACAAAATTCTTCAAAGCTTTCACAATCCTCTTTTGTAAATCCAATATAGAAAAATTATCCAGGTCACTTTCTTGTTTGGTTCTTGTATATTCCTTTTAATTATTAAAACATCAGACAGCTTCTTTTGTATTTCCATATCATTGTTATAGCCCTTCATTTTTAAAATCACTTTCAGATCAGTCTCAATCTTGTCAGATATAACTTGTTCCTCTTTCATAACATCTTTTAAACATAGTCTGTCTATAGAAGCAGACACTCTTAAAATTAACTTCTGAGTCCATTGTTCAAAAATATCCTTCAGTATGTACAATGTTAAATTATTTTACTTCATTCAGTATTACTAAGTCAAACTTAAGTGTTCTTCTCCTTTAATGGTAATCTTTAGTTCCTTCTGGTTCCCTCTAGTGTCCAACCTTCAAAGTTTCATCCTATCATGCTTTTTAAGAGAATTCAAAACAAAAGCATTTTTCCATAGGGAG